GATGTCTCAGTGTTGCAAACAAACTAAATCTAAAATCACAATATTTTTTTTGTGGAAACCCCAACTCAATGCTGTCATTTTTGACAGAAGTAACTTGAAAGTCTAATAATTTTGTCTCACAATGAAAAAGTCAACTCTACACACGAACATTATAACTTCAGTCAATCGTTGTATCACCCCTATTTATTACAAAATATGAATACGAAGAAAGTATTTTAAAAAAACGACTTTAGTATAACAAGAAGCATAGATAGCGTAGGTAGGTGTTTTTTTTACAATTTATACTTTTTTTTTTAACTATTATTATTATTATTAAAATTTTATCCTAAGATCAGTACAATTTGAATTGTCTCCGAGAAGATACACCCTTCAATGATTGTTTCTTATAGAATATTTTTCGATGCGGTGCGGGACAGCTAGCGATAAAAACACGACGAGAAAAAAACTACTTAAAAAGTATTTACATTATTCAGCTTACGCCGGCAGACGTGCGACGAGTTACAAGTCGCATAACATTAACAATGTCAAAACAATCGTAAACGGACTGTCTATATTAGCCGCGCAAACAAAACTCTACCAAAGACAACCTTACGTCATTTGGCGCCAAATCAAACGGGATGACCATAGATATGCCATAGTTTTTGCATAACGTGTTAAAATATTAACTAATAACATTGAATTACGATGCCTTATTAAGTTTTTTTTAAAGTTTTTGGGTTCCGTATTATAATGCCTACGGCATAATTCACGTAACATAATTAAGATCTATCTGCATAATGTTGAAATAATTGAGATTTATTATACTGAATGCAGAAGTATGTTTCTAGAAAAGTATTAAATTGATTATTATTATTATATTAGAAAATACAATTAATTTCTAAATTTATTAATCCGCTAACAAGCTTAATCCAAAAAATATATTTTGAAGAAAAATAGAAAAGAAACGTTAAACACTAAAACACTTAAATATTTTACATTTAATTTTATTAATTACCTAAACTAAATTAGCTATGTTGATCATAAGAATGTTAACTTTAAAAATGTATCGATTTTTTTAAACTAATAATTATTCGATACTACGAAACCGACACTAAAATAACCTAAAATTATATATCAGAAAGTGTAGATAAAAAAAAATACATTTACGCAACTATTCTTTTATATCGAATTTTGACTCCCTTCCTCGCGAAAGAAACACTTAAAACACATAAGCTTCGCATTTGAACACCTCTCAATTTCTGCGTATCCCTTGACTTTAATCAAAAAACTACAAAATAAGGTTTAACGTTATCGTATTAACGCGTAAAAACAATGACAAAGAGAAATAAACAATCATTGAAATACATAATAGAACTTTTCTTGAGCGCTTTCAAAGTTAACAATGTACTGTGACAAGTGAACAAGTACTTTGCTGGTAATTACTAAGCTCATAATTACGTTGGACTCTAAAACGAGTTCCTAAGAAATACTTTAAAAGTAATCCGCGTGTTCAGTTAAAAAAATTACTTCGAATACCCACGTTAAATAACTTTAAATAGATTAACGCAAAAGAAAGTGTAATCTGTTTGACCTAAAGTAATTAAGACTAGACCTAGATCGCATTAATTAAATCGAACAATGACGTCATAGTTTACGTGTGCCATGCAAATTACAAAGATGGGCTCTGCGAGAAAGACCCAGGAACGTCTCGACAATCCACGCCGGACTTTAGGCGCTTATAACAGTTATAACCTACACAGGTAAAGGTACTAAAGAGTAAAGGCGAATAAAAAGAAACAACAAACTGCGTGCGCCAACGAAATGACAATTGCCAATCAATTACTGGTGGTAGGACCTCTTGTGAGTCCGCGCGGGTGGGTACCACTACCCTGCTCATTTCTGCCGTAAAGCAGTAATGCGTTTCGGTTTGAAGGGTGGGGTAGCCGTTGTAATTATACTGAGACCTTAGAACTTATATCTCAAGGTGGGTGGCGCATTGACGTTGTGGATGTCTATGGGCTCCAGTAACCACTTAACACCAGGTGGGCTGTGAGCTCGTCCACCCATCTAAGCAATTAAAAAAAAAACCGCGCAACTGTTATTATTGTTCAAGAAAAATGCAATCACACTCAGGGCGCCCGGGAAAACGTAATGAAAATTGACAGCCGTCAAAATTGACATCTGTCAATTAACGCCTGACGACTTCGTTAAGCTCTCTTAGAACCTGTTTTCGTTACTTTGTGTTAGTGCAGTCGATTATGATCTATTTGTTAAATGTAATAAAGTAAATTTGATTATGAGCGTGCATTAGATTGCCTGTTTGAAATCGACAATGATATCTTTAAATTGAATATAATGAGAATTTTATTATCTAGAGCGAGAATTCGCATTGTGCTTTCTGAATGCTGCAATTAAGCCTTTTATCCCGGTGAGTTAGTGTCGCTTAGACTTCTGAAGACGACAATTCTATATAATCTATATACATGAAGCAAAAACTTTGTAGCTTTTTTCACGAAAATTGCGCGGACGAAGGAGTCTGAACTTTCCCACACTTACAGAGAATATAGAGAGGGAGTGCTGAATGTTATATATAATACATTAAATATAGAAGTATATAAATAGTCTTTGACAATAGAATCATAATAATGTTCAAACTTATAATTTCTAATAATTAAAGTCGAATTTCAATCACTAGTATTGATAAGAATTTTGTTGGGACCGCTGTATACGTAAGAAGGCTTAGAGGTGAGCCGCGGTAGACTGGACGGGGTTAGCATAAGAAGAGGGAGACATAATGCACCCGAAATTTTGTATTTACACATAGAGCATTCGAGGCCTCAAAATTAGGACACGCGTAAGTTCCAGCGCTATAAAAGATCTTTGAAGTGAAATCGAATCAAAAATTTGATATCACAGCATTGAGTAACATTGAGACACGCATTACCCACTCTCAACTAAAGGTTTTATGAAATTACGCTCTGTGTGCTTAGTGCGAGTTTCTTAACGTTCTCGATAACGTAAAAGTTAGCTCATATTTGTATGGAATGGGATCGTTTCCCTACGTTCGCCTTTAGGGGCGCTGTTCCAACTGCATACAAAATTGGCTTAACTTTTACGCTATCGAGAGCGTTAAAAAACTCGCACTAAGCACACTGGTCTTATACTCAATTCACATATATGAGTTATAGAATTTTTCATGGGGCCCCATAATCGGACTTGGGTGAATTCGGCCCTGTATGTGTCTGCTAAGTGAAAGGCAAATGCCGTTACCGAAATAGTGATGGTAAATCATTTTATTGCCGAGAGCGCTCCGAGAAGTTAGTATCTGCTCAATATATACAGGCACATGCCTTAGAGCAGTTATCTCAACCGGTTTAAAAGTTGAGACAGCTTTTTATTCCTACATAATCGTTGGTAGCCTAAGGGGCTTTTCCAACATCACGCGAACCAGTAGAAGAGCTCACGGGCTCAACCTGAAAGAATTGCTAACACTAGCCCTAGCAATATCAGTGCTTCGCTGATTCTACCACCGGATCGGAAACGCGACCCACTGAGAAGATCCGGCGAGAAACTCACTGGGTTGTGTCTATGGGCTAGATCGCACGTCGAACGCGGACGGTGATCAGTGCTTGAACAGCCTAAAAGCACCGAAAGTGGATCCGACAAGGCATGTTTTGGGTTTTTTTTCCTACCTAAGCTGATAGCCTTGGGAGGCTATTTCAGCGTAACCTTAATTAGTAGGTGAGCTCAAGCCGGAGTCATACTAACACTGACCCTAGCAAGAGCAGTGCTTCGCAGAATCTACCACCGGATCGGAAACGCGACCCACTGAGAAGATCCAGCGAGAAACTCAGTGGGCAAGTTTTGGACGACGGCGGCTTTGCTTTGCCCCGTCCCCTGGATCGGATATGGGGGACAGTCGTCACGTCTCAAGCGATGTCCCTATATTCAGATTCCGCTGTCTGTAGCCTACCACCATTCCACGTCAAGTAGACCATAACCTAGTCTGCCCATCAAGGGGAATAAACAGTTGAAACTGCGAACGTGTAATATCAATTTTATGTAAGACCTACTGGTGGTAGGACCTTTTGTAAGTCCGCGCGGGTAGGTACTACCGCCCTGCCTATTTCTGCCGGAAGCAGTAATGCGTTTCGGTTTGAAGGGTGGGGCAGCCGTTGTAACTATACTGAGATCTTAGAACTTATATCTCAAGGTGGGTGGCGCATTTACGTCGTAATGTCTATGGGCTCCAGTAACCACTTAACACCAGGTGGGCTGTGAGCTCGTCCACCCATCTAGCAATAATTAAAAAAAAAGTTGAAAAGTTAACGCCAATTTCCATTGCGTTTGTTGAGGGCAAAAAAGAGACTGTCCATCCCATATTCAGGATAATTTGGAATCGGAGTTGAACACAAAAAAATAACCACACTAGTCCGTCCAGAATGATACTTTGTATACAGCGGCCTTTAATCTAAAAAGTATAATCTTTATAATAATCTATAAAAGTTAGATTTAATTTTCACAAAAATTACATTTAACAAAACTTTATTGAGAATATTCTAGATATAAATTATTATTTAATTATAATTGAGCTAGTTCTGTTGATGAGCAAAATTATTAACCAAAAGCATGAACTTGTGAATCAATCCTATTCTGATTAAAATAATAAATATATTTAAAGCCAGACTAAGAAATGCTTTGTACAGTTAGTGACAGTTTCAAATAAAAAAAGAAAAAAAAAAAAGAAGAAATACAAGTTTAGTTAGAAAAGTCAAATTAGAAATTGAAAAAAATAAAATAAAAGCCTCTCGTCAAATTGTATTTTTATTTATTTTAAAAAAATAATTCAACTTTTTTCGTAAGTCACATGGCAACACTCGTTATGTTCGCGCACCGAAAAAAAAAACAGCAGTGACGTCAGCTTCCTCCTCATTGTCTATACTCAATTTNAAAAGAAGAAATACAAGTTTAGTTAGAAAAGTCAAATTAGAAATTGAAAAAAATAAAATAAAAGCCTCTCGTCAAATTGTATTTTTATTTATTTTAAAAAAATAATTCAACTTTTTTCGTAAGTCACATGGCAACACTCGTTATGTTCGCGCACCGAAAAAAAAAACAGCAGTGACGTCAGCTTCCTCCTCATTGTCTATACTCAATTTTAAAAATACTATTTACATCAATTAGCGTAAGTTTTTGTGCCCTAATTCGAAATATTGCATTTTTTTTGTTCGCCGTCTACACTCAGTACATTGAGTTAAAAAAAAAAACAAAATAAAAAAAACTTGATATTGCAAACAAAACAAAAAGATACCACATCTTATAGAGGTACGTTGCGGGTACAATGCACCAACATTATTTTCACTCATACCTTCAAATATATACCTGACGATTATACATTAACCCAGTAACTAAATACTACCCACTTCTTATGAGAATTTAAAACATATGTTTTCTCATAAATAATATTTTGTATACATACAGCTGATAGACGGTAAATCAACATCAATCCAGTTTAATTAAATGTCCATTTTCGGGCAATCCAAAAGCCTCAAACAATTTTCACGCCATGTATTCTATGATCGTCGTTTTTAAAGAATCAACCCGTGCATCTAGACCTATAGATCGCAATTTCCATCAAACAACTAACTTATTATAGTTTTCTTCAAATTTTTTTAACACATATTTGACTATAAATAATATACATTATTTTGCTGACCGTAGCGGAAAAGCATTGAGGGCTTGATCATCAATTATTTTATAATATTTTTAATAACACACAAATTCAATCACACTCGAAGCGAATGTTCGTAATATCAAGTTTTTTTTATTAATATATTTATTTTTAAACCAAGTTAGAGCGCACGAGTAATGTCGTTTAAAATTTATAGATTATTTTGTTTTACTAAAAAAAAGCAGGGTTACACATTAAATGCTTGAACTTTCATATATATAGATATCATATAGAGATAACTTTTATTTGTATTTTTGCCAAAGCAAATCTAGAGGCAGCGATAATCGTTGAGTATTTTGAGATAAAAAAATTTTTTTTAAACAATTCCCAAAAATAATAAACGACACTGCCAATCAAAATCCAGCATTTTTAAAATTCGTTTAAAGAAGAAAAAAAAACGGCACATTAATTATCTAAGTCTTGCAACACTCGCGTGACGTCGGACACGGCGAGGCGGCGTTTATTTATTTACAGGGGGTAGTAACACTATTATTTTTGTTTATTTTTATTTTTAACTTTTTTTTAATTTATTCGGTTCTAAGAGCCCGTTTATTGGCGTTAAACATTAACCGTGTTCTGTTAGCTAGCATCCCCGCACCTGTACAGTCGTCGACGAAATAAATACAAAAAAAAAAACTTTCGTAGGCGACTGTACCGCGCTCGTATTAATGCATAACGATTTTGGCTCTAAGCATTCGATCAGTCTATATTCTTAAAAAAAAAAAAACTATCACTGGTACATACATACATAACATATTCACAATTTGTACACAGATATGAAAATTCTGACTGGCGCCGTTTCCGTACGATGTCACGACGGAAACGGCCAAGCCGCACAAAGACAATAAAAAAAAACGAAGGCTTCATTGGCAAGCCGTCTTTGGATAGGCAAGGCCGTGAATAAAAAAAAAAAAAAAACATTCAGTATTCGAACGAGCCAAAATCGCGCAGTCAGACAACGTTAAAATAATAATAAAATGTGTTACACAGTGACGCAGCCAACGCGACGGGATACGAACGTGGCGTTAACATCGTCGACCGCACCCCGTCAATCCATTAACTTCGGTTTGTTACCATGATGACTGACATCCAACTAAGCAACGAACCGAAAAAAATGAAAACGTCAAGTCTAATCGTAATGTCAAACGTTTTTTTTTTTTTTCTTAATGTCAACCGTTTCCCGTCGCCGCCAGCTGCGTCATATTAAAAAAAAAAAAACAGAAACCCGTTACACTACACTAGTGAGGTCCGTTAGTTGTTGGCCGAGGAACGTCGACACACGCAGTGCTATCGCGGGCTGTGTTGTGACGTCACTTGCCAGAGTGCCCGTTCCCCATCGCTGACTCGACGACCTGCAAACCGTCCGAGCTTGTGAGCGAGCGTGTAGCCGTGTGTCGTCGTTCCTAATGAGGCTGGAAGGGTCACGTGAGGCGGCCGGGCCAAACTGCGCCCATCGCAAGAGTCTAAGCCGCCAAACGTTCCGTTTTTTTTTCCCAAATCAAATTTCGAACTAAGCTTGAAGCAACCATTAAAAAAAATTGATTTACAAATATGTTCTTTTTTTAAATTCGAAATTCGATTTAATTTTTTCCCGCCCGCCACCAGTGTTTTTTTTTTTCGTCAACAAAGCAAGAGAGACCCAGCATTGTGCAACCCAAAAAAATCGTCGAATCCAAATCATAAAAAAAGTTAGTAAGTGTAATTTAAGTGTTATTTTTTTTTACATTTGGAATTCCGACAGCCCCAAGAGGTACGATATACACAGCTGCGCGCAAGCTACCATTTAGCTGTTACATTTATATACACAACAATCATAATTAAAAAGGACGTAAAGCCACACCAAGAGTATTCAATATACAGCTTTAACAAGATGTGTCTCGGATTTTCTTTTCGTTGAGCCAAAATAATTTCATTGTTAATGATAATTAACAAATAAATTTGAACATTAATCTACACACATCTTATTAAAATTGAAACATCGAAAACAATATCTGAACAGTCAGGCAATAAAAAAAAAAATGTAATTCATATGTCTGTTTACACGGAAATCGATAACCATCATTGGGCATACGATTACTGTTGAAATCGATTTAAAAAATATATAAAATTCAAAACCAATCATAACAGCCAAATAATAGTTCAACAGTCACAATTAATAAAAATTTGCCACGTGAAAAGCAAATACTCCTAGAGATGCATGCCCTGGAGGTCATTAGAAAAAATAATAATAAACAAAAACATCTTCAAGATTCTGAAAAGAACTCTTTAATTTTGTTATAAAAAGTTATACGTTTTTCTTTTAAATATACATACATATCGAATAGAATATTAAATGCGACATAGATCCAACAACAATAATTCGTTAAGGCAATTCTCAAAGCTAGCCAAACCCACTACAAAATTAAAAAAAAAAACAATGTGATGTCATCACATCCAATAAATTTATTTAAGTATTTCGGTTTTGACGATTTCCGAAAATTACCTCCTGAATTGATTACAATTCACACACAAAATACATGTAAAACTAAATTCATATCAATATAATCTCAAATTCTTTTGCTACAGTTTTTACTTTTTTTTTTTAATATTTTTTTCTTCTTCCATAATTGTGTGCACAGAGATCAGGAGCGCTCGACAAGAGTGGCAGTCAGATAACGAATTTATACAAAAAAAAAAGAATAAAATCAATACATATTTTTTAATCAAATTTCAACGCTACTATGTTTTTCATTAATCATTATCAGAAAATAACTTATTCAAATTAGACATGTAATTACTTCACAAAAGAAAGAAAAAAAACATTAAGAAAAGTCAGCTAGAAAACTGATACATCTCATATATTAAATAGGATATTAATCATGAGTAGAATTAGAGGCAAGTCTAAATAAATGTTGCAGGCATACACGCTTCCCCTGTATCTATATTTCTATGTAATGGAATCTAGTCCTTTAATATANATAACTTATTCAAATTAGACATGTAATTACTTCACAAAAGAAAGAAAAAAAACATTAAGAAAAGTCAGCTAGAAAACTGATACATCTCATATATTAAATAGGATATTAATCATGAGTAGAATTAGAGGCAAGTCTAAATAAATGTTGCAGGCATACACGCTTCCCCTGTATCTATATTTCTATGTAATGGAATCTAGTCATTTAATATACACAGCTCCAAGACGTCCAATTAAATAGAAAATTACGGTTCCGAGTTATTATAGTATCTTAACTAGATTTAGTATGGTAGTAATGAAAAATGTATTAATAATTTTTTTGTTCGTATTTTTATAAAAGTGTATTTTGTTTATTTAAAAAAAAAAATATTTGTTACTAGAATGATAAAAAAAATATATAGAAACACTTTATTTTAATAGAGCAGCTGTTATATATACTAAGCAATTGAGACTCATATGGAATGTCTTAAGGTGGACCGAGCCATACATGAAGTGATTTCCATGGTCTGTACAATAAGAAAATAAAAACGGGGCCAAGACAAGAAGCGCCATGTTGCAATATAGTTAATAATTCGACAAGCCTCTCCAAGGTAAGCACTCAAGATCAGCAATGGTCACACACACAGACAAATCACTCGATCACAATTTAACATCAAAACCGTATAATTACGTTAACATAAATAAATACCTCAGTTTGTTTTTTTTATTTTTGTCACCAGAAATTTTAGTTTTGACAACACCTACAGTGCAACATCATTTCTTTTTACGTAGCACCTAATAATACATTTGTTTGCAACACCATACATATTGTGAAATGAATACAGTTAGTCAACTTAAAAACTATTTTAAACTAACAAAAAAATAAAGATTTCTAACAAAGACATTTTTAATCAAACATTACATATAAGGTAGATACAAAATATTTGTGTCAATTTGAAAAAAAAAATTAAGTACAAAACGCTACAGATAATATAATAACTATTTTAAAATGGTAACAGTGATGGCACCACTCGTACTCATGTGACGATATAGACGCAATTAGGCAATGACGCTGAGCCAAAACATTCATAATGTTTGGTAGCTATTTTCAATTCTAGGCATTTCCTTTTTCTTATTTAAGTATGGCGTTTGACTTGTGACGAAATTGTTGCCAGTGTCGAGTTTATAAAAATCTTCAATTAATAAATACATGCGCATATTCTGCTACATGAAAAATAATATAAAGTTGATCAATTTTGTTATTTTAATCAATTGGTATTCAATTAAATGAAACAAGACGAGATGGGATGGAATGAAATAAACTCTCAATAAAATGCTATGTTATATCAATGGTTATTTGTTGAGAATTCAGTGACACTTTTTGAAAGAATCCGAGAAGCTTTGTTAAATGGACTTGTTTCATTTTGACAGATTTGTGCACTTTCACAGAAACTAAGCAGTAAATAAACCACAATTATTACAAATATAAATCTGAATAATCACTATAACAAAATACGCACTTTTTAATTTTAAGGTTTTAAATTTTAATTCTTCTTCAAAACGCTTACAGTTTTGGTTCACCTCAACGTGTTGCATACTTGCGTCAAAAAATGAGAAAAAAAAATTGACAATCTCCGACTTACTTTTATATATTTTCAACGTGTTAAACATATAATAAATTTTAACTTTTCCTATCTATCAGTTTATGAAAGTCAAAAAGGAACATTAAAAACCACCCTGTTCTACAACACCGCTTTCTCAATTTGATCATTTTTGAGCAAAGAATGAAAAAAAAAAAAAGTTATCTACTAAAATTAAAATTAAAGCTGTTCATGGTAAATATGTGTTCATTGTAGCTTTTTTTAGTGATGTACTTTCTATCTAAAACGAGACACGATAGCGCCAAATGGAATGCTTTTTAAATATTATGGAAGAACTTTTTTTTTTCTTAAACGCTTTTACATACTATGATATTATCAACAATAATATTTTCAATATACATCAATATTTACAGCTTAACCTATAAAACCTTCTTAAAATTTACACACCATGTAAACGACAAAGTTTATAATTGAATAAAAATAAAAGTTAGCAAAAATACAATGATTACTCTCCCAGTACAAATATACACAAATATAATTATTCTATCTATTTATCAATCCTTTATCTATTAAATTAAAACTATTTGATACCTAATGTACATAACTGAATTGTACAATATTTTTTTGATTCTTTTTTTTTTAAATATAATATTCTACTGCATTTTTTAATACATTCGATACTCCATTATGTCAAAAGCTCAGGAAGCTTCTGTTCCAAAAAAAATATGTTTTCTATACGACCATTGTTTTAGATTGAAACCCTGTGTATGTCCTTGCTATATTATTGTATTATATTAGACGAAGCTAAGCTCAGGACAGACTTATAAGAATTTAAAAATGCTATTAAAAATCAACATTGATGATATTTTGTAAAGTCGCTTGTTTTGTATTCCTTTTTTCTATGCCTTAGTTGGGTAGAACATTGAGTGACATAGAAAAGTGTGGTCATGTTTTCCGGGAAAAAAAAAACTGGAGACAACAAGAAGGATAGACATGTGTATTATAAACACATTAAAGGTTTCACTCAACTATAAATGGCTGTGCACAATTGTGTTGTCAAAAACACCAATATGCAACCAAATATTTGTTTATATACATCATTATATTTTAAACAATCTACATGTGAGTCGTCTATTATCAAAGGTGGCAATCTGTGCATTTGGACAATTTTTTTTTATTGATATGTCAATACAGATTGATTTGAATATAATCGTCTCCTTCAAAGAATACGGTTCAAAACCTGCATTAAATAAAGGTTAATAGTTAACCTGTTATTTATCTAAGATGTCGTTCAGAAGAGTTTTGTGACTGCCAATGGAATACAAAGTCAATAATTCGTTTTTCTGATTTACCAATCATTGTCCAAAAGTCAGATTGCCGGNAATATAATCGTCTCCTTCAAAGAATACGGTTCAAAACCTGCATTAAATAAAGGTTAATAGTTAACCTGTTATTTATCTAAGATGTCGTTCAGAAGAGTTTTGTGACTGCCAATGGAATACAAAGTCAATAATTCGTTTTTCTGATTTACCAATCATTGTCCAAAAGTCAGATTGCCGGCTTTGATAATAGTCGACTCATGTGTAGTCAAGGTGATAATGAAATTCGCTGCATCTTGTCTTAATACCTCATAGGCATTTTTTGTTTCACAAATCTAGCTATTATTCTTCTTGAACGTGAGTGAACACCGAAGTAATTAGCTGGGTCTTATGCAGGCAGAGCTAAACGGTTGCCTAAAGATCGTAGACCATGACAAAATGGTATCTCAATGAAAAAGGGCTAAGACTCAAGACTAACTTACTGGAGCCCATAAGCATCTACAACGTAAATGCGCCACCCACCTTGAGAATAAGTTCTAAGGTCTCAGGTATAGTTACAACGGCTATCCCACCCTTCAAACCTACCACCAGTGAGAAAAGTTTGAAGATAAAAGTTTGCATTGACTGAGGAGGCATTAGTACACATTTCCATTATGACGCAAGAAAATGTCAAACTGTAAAACCACATTTGACGAAATATTAAAAAAAATACTTTCCACATTTAAGGGGTAGAAGTGTCGTTAAGATTTTATTTTAAATGTTTTCAAAGTGAAACTTCTGTTGAATTAGGAATAGGATACAGATTTGAACGAATATGTGTACATATTAAGAAAAGTTAAAAATTTATGAAAGCGCCATCTATCGGCGAAAACGATAAACTATAATTTACAAAACACCAGTAACCATGTACACACGTAGAATACAAATTTTAAGGTTCATCATGGAAGATTTCTGAGGGTAAATTAAAAAATGTTAAGCACCATCTGGCGGCAACAATCAACATCTACTACTACACTAATAAAACATTGTTTCATTTGATTCAAACTAAAAATGTTGATAACAAGGTTTTATAACAAATTGCAAAATGGGTAACGTTAAATTAGTATATAATATATAAAAAAGCAAATGGCTTTTTACTATAGAATGATAAATTCTTTCAAAACTTCAATAATCGGACGGATAGTCTATACATTAATATTGTATATTCATTCGGAGTTCGTGGAGAGTCTATACAACTGTTGGTCCAAACCAAAGAAAACATACGACACGAATCGAGAGGCTCCTTCTTTTTAACTTGAAGTCATTTAAAAAACAAACAGCAGGAACATGCCTGTAAGATTCGATACATTTAAATCTAATTTCAACTCAACACATGGTCCACAAGGATAAAGTTAATCAACGTCCTAAATTCAAGATCAGACTGCTTATTATTTTTCGACAAGCAACAAGCTTAAAGTTTAAAAATATTTGTAAAATTTACTAATAAAAGTTTAAATACAAAATACACTATGTAAATAAATATCTTAATAAGCTCTTTAAGAAAGAAGCGAATATTATATTGTAAAAAACTATATTAAATATATTTTATATGTAAAATATTGATTTCATCTACAAAATATGTAGAAATAGACATTTATTTTATTATATAAAGACATTTATTAGATTATATTAAAAGTTTTTATATGATTTCTTCATTTATATATTTTAGAGTATTTTTTGGGTAATTTCCTTTCATGGTGATTTTCAAGAGAATACTGTTTATTGTTTACTTTGTAATAACTGCATAGATGTAAATTAATGGCATATTTGAACAGGTTTCATAATCTGCCATCTAATCTATCATCTAATCATTGAGAAATACTCATTAAGAAGTTTAAATTATTAATAAGCGACATTGTACTTCTTTTTGAATGTACTAATGTTTACTTCACATTAATAAATAGTTACAATTAAACCATAGACCATTTAGTAAAGCTGTTTTCTTTTCTGTGTCCTAAAACAACTAGTTTCAACTCTTGAAATTCATCATAAAAGCATTTTCTTATAAGCACACTACATATTAATAGAACTTTGTTATATCAACACTACACGCCTTATTTGTATCACATGACGAAGCTCTTAACTTTGTAATAAAATTTTTAAATAAAGTAGTATGTATAAATTTTTACATTATAATAGTGGTAATTTAATTACAAAAAAAAAAAACAGAATCGCTTAGTAGAGTAACAATTCTATAATACAAGTAACCTACTAAATAATGTAATTAATAATTAATTAACATGTAAATATAAAATAAGCATGTCATACGAAAAGTACCACAGGATGTGATAAAATTTTGTAAATTATTTTTAAAATATGTATAGCATTCTGATAAGTTTTTTTTTTTTTGTAAATGTTCGTAATATTATTTTTTGTTTTACAGTTTGGTCGTAGATATGGAATAATTTCGTAGAATTTAGCGTCAACTGCCCTCTGGCAAGTCACACTTTTGTATAGTATCAGACTTCATAAAATTGGGTCATGTAGTAGTCCTGTCCTTGTATGTTCTGATTATTTATATTATATAATTAAAATACAATTTAACTCTACAACAGTATAGTTTAATTATTTAAGCAGGTACATATTAATACCTAATCATATTATTTAAAATTTGTTGTAAAAGCAATTTCCTTTTTTTAAGGTAACTATTTTGAAGAGAACTGTGATGTGATGGCATCGCTCACCGCCAGGCTGAGAGCGCGATGCCATATACCTATGCGAGTGACACAGAACATTAATTATACCAAATTATTCGTGTCTACGACCGTATCAGAGTTAATCCGGGGGCGGAGGCGGCACAGAGGGCGGGGGCAGCGGCGGCAGCGGAGGCTGTGGTGGCTGCGGTTGATGCTGCGGCTGGTGTTGCGGCTGGTGTTGCGGCGGCGGGTACATGTAGCCCTCCATGCCGTAGAAGTAGCCGTCCATGACGCCGTACGGGAACATGGGCGGCGGCTGCACCATGTAGTACGGCGGGGGGTGCCTGAAAGGGATGGGCCAGGTGCCTACCTTGTGGTGCGGCGCTCCGTTGTGTCGCGGCAGCTTGCTGGGCAGCCCGGGCTCGGGCGGGGCGGCTCGCTTGCGGGAACTTTCCAACACCTCCTTGGAAATCTTGATCTTCAAGCCGGCTTGAGGGGGCGGGTGCTGAGGCGGGGGAGGCGGAGCAGCGAGACGTTCCTTCGGGATCTTGATCTTGAGTCCTTGTCCCGGGCTGGTGGACAGCTTGTCCCTCGGTATCGTTATCCGCAAGGTGCCGTCCTGAGTTTCGACAGGAGGCGGACTATCTTTCTTTTTCTCTTTTTCTTTGTCCTTTTTGTGTTTCTTTCTCTCTTCTTTGGATTTGTCTCGGTCTTTGTGTTTGTGTTTCTCTTTTTTCTTTTTGTCTTTTTTGTGTTTCTGGTCAGCCTGATCTGGAGGCTGTATCAATTCAGGTTGGGCTTGGACGGGAGCGGGAGGAGGGGGAGGTTCGACCACCTCCCTTTTGACTTCTATTGGAGATTTCTTTTCTGTGGGAACCGATATCGGAACGGGTTTCGCGAGACTCTCCTTCAGTAAATTAGAAACTAGAGTGGGATCAGTTTCTATGCCATTAAGTGCTCGGGGAGGAGGCTCAGGTTTCCTCTCCGATACTTTATTCTTGATAATTCTTTGATTTTCTTTCATAATATTTTCGTAGCCAGGGGTCTCGTCTATTTTCTTCATGACGGGCACCAGTTCCGGTTCCGAATTAGAATGCTGTCTCTGCCTCGGCTTAGGCTGCTCTATGGAAGGCGGCGACGAGAAGGGGGATAAGATGGCGGGAGGTTGCATTTCTTTGATCGCCGCAGAAGGGTCGGGCCTCTTCCTCGGACTGGGCGGTCTTTGTTCTTGTATCAATACGGGCGGCGGGTTATGTCGGGGTTCATGCTTGGGTCGCGGGGGCTGCGACTGAGGCGGTTGCGTTGGTGGGTGCTGGCTTTGGGGTTGAGGTTGTATTTGGGGTTGGGGTTGTGGTTGGGGCTGCGGTCGCCTGGGAGCCGCGGCGGCCGCTGCTGTGGGTGTGGTGGCATTCTCCGGAGAGAACAATGACGGAGGCCGCGTTCTCTGCGGTATCTCTTGGACGGATTGACTCGACGAGGCGGACGCAGACCCCGAAGCCGACGTTGAGGGCGCCGGCATCGGCCTGTGATGTCTATTATGTTCGTGAGGTGGTTTCTGTTGATGAGGTTTCTGCGGAGGCCATGGATGGTGCGGTTTGTGATGATGAGGTCGCTGATGGTGGGGTGGAGGTTGACTAGGCCTCTGCTGTGGAGCATTAGGCCTCTGTTGATGCAATTGTTCCCGTCTCGCTTTCTCTTCCCTTCGCTCCCGTTCCTCTCTTTCCCTCTTCTCCCGGTATTGATTGTAATCCAGTTTCTGGGGAGGTGGTTGCGCAGGTGGCGCGGCGGACGGTGCGGGGACATAACTTCCCGGCACCGGTTGACGTCTTCTTTCACGTTCATATTCTGTGGACAAATAGAACACAGATTGAAACACTACTTCAGACTAATCTAAGGGGAAAATTTGGCTGGTTCACCATGGTCCAAAACAAATTCCAGTTGAAAAAAACTAGTATTAGTGGACACAGCAACTATAGGTATATTCGGATCCGACCAGCACCAGCTTTTTTTTTTATATAATTAAAAAAAATCTCATTTATATCTGGTCACATTTTTCAATATTAGATTGTAGATTGTTCTAATATTGAAAAATATGACCAGATATAAATAGAAATCCATTTAAGTTAGCTCATTTTAGATTACATGTTTTCTTATTAGATTTTTACCCTTTTAGAATCGTTCCATATTAAAAACACTTATAGCTTATTTGTAATTCTTCAATGTTATTAAAAATACCATTATTAGTGACAAAATAAATAAGAGACTACAAACTAGATTCAATTTAACACTTGTTTTCGATACAATGATATATTCAAACTGACCTTTATCAAATGATTTATCTATTTCATCGCTAGTGCTCGAATGTTGTCCGTGCTTCTTGTCAAATGGTGAGGCCTGGTTCGCACCAGAGCCGTGCTGAGGTAACGAGGCGGGAGAACTGCCATCTGTTAAACACATCAACATGTTAAAACACTAGTACTCTGTACTGCTTATTACTGCTGCACAGGTTTATACAATCTGTCCTTGAGACAAGTCGTCGTCTACGAATGGAAACTGAAATAATGGGTGTCCCAAAGTTAATGTAAATTTAAATTCAAAATCAATCATTTCAACTTAGATGTCAGTAAAACACACTTGTTGAATGTCAAAATATAAATAACAATGTTAACTCTACCACCGGTTCCAAAAAAAAGCCACAGTCCTGAGAAGAACCGGCGAAACATTTTTTTATTATTTAGATGATAAGATTTGCTGCTACCATTTCTGTAGTTAATTATTGATAACACTGAAACCGAGTTTAGGATTAGCAAAAATGGACCGTTATAAGATTTATAACAAAGCATTCTCATTATTAAACAATATTTAAAAGGTAATGAAAATTTCAAGCAAAATATCGAAAGCATTGTACCAAAATTGCGACAGATGACTTCCGTTACTTGCCAAATTTTGTATATTTGGAGTTCCAAGAACCTACGTGGATTGTTGAACAACAAATGCACCCACCCACAACATGACCCTGTTTGGTGCGGATTTTGGCCTGAAGGCATTATTGAACCAGACTTTTGGAAAATGAGATTGACAAGCAGGTTACTAGGTGCTTGTTACGCACTTTAAGATTCGATGAAAAAATAAAGTATTTTATTTACAAAAGTATTTACAAAGAGCAAAAACTTTATTTTGTAATTAATACTTTCCAGGTGCAAATTATGAAAAGCATTTTAGAGTTGCATAATTATTATTAATCACAGCCACTGTGACAACATACAGCAGTATTGCAAAGTATACACTTAGTTTTTAATGCAATATGAATTCAATTCTACCTTATGGTATGGCAGGAACTTGTAAATAGAGCTTGTAATGAACTCAAAAAAATGAACAACGCAACATCCCAAACTTACCGGCAGCTTTAACATTCATCATCTTCCTTTTTAATCTAGATGGACATTTCTCAAATATAAGAAGAAATTCTCCAGTTAATTTTTCTAATAGTTCCATTGTAACAGTCTTGTCTACATACGAAAACCAGTGGCGGCCCTCGTACGATTGTGGGATCTGTAACAATCATAGCTCTTTCGTTCAATTGTTTTTTTTTTTTAAATTATATTGCTTAGGTGGGTGGACAAGCTCACGGCCCACCTGGTGTTAAGTGGTTCTACAGCGTAAACGCCGCCACTCACCTTGAGATATGCGTAAAGCCTCTGTATAGTTACAACAGCTGCCCCACCCTTCACACCGAAACGCATTAATGCTTCACGGCAGAAACAGATTGGGTGGTGGTAACTACCACCCAATCTACCCTTCTCTAATCCTACCCTTATCGACTCACAAGACGTCCTACCACCAGTTATTACGTAATTTACAATTTTGCGGGTTTGATTTTTATTACACAGATGTTATTCCTTCACCTTTATTTGTGAAAATTTGTTAGGTACGTATTTCATTAGAAAAATTGGTACCCGCCTGCGGTCTTCAAACACCGGTGCATCGCAAGTTGCGATGGCACTGGACGTCTTATCCTTTGGACCATAGCGACTTTAATACAACCATATTAATCATAATGCTTAACTGTCTCTTTCTGGAATTTTTCCCTACCTATTCGTGGGCTAACTAACCTTTTTTTAACGCCGGGAAATCCATTTACGGATTCCCGGTCGAGGGGGGTAACGAACCGGGTTATGTCGGACTCTGGCGCCTCCTGAGAGAAATAAGGGGAGACGAGAAGGGCCGAGGTCCTTCACCTCCCCCAATTTCTCACAGGAGACTACACGCCTTCAGAAAGGCGCGCGAAGCACTTGCCCCGCAGAACCGACTATCTAGCCCACTGAGTTTCTCGCCGGATCTTCTCAGTGGGTCGCGTTTCCGATGCGGTGGTAGATTCTGCGAAGCACGGCTCTTGCTAGGGTCAGTGTTAGCAACACGAAGCTGAAGTAGCCTCAAGGCTACCAGCAGAGGTAGAAAAAAAAAAAGACTACCGACTAAACCCCATCGAGCTCCACCACACCGTCTACACGAAACTAACGGTACCGCAGTGCGCGCCGAAAAACCTAGCTAACCTAAAAAAAACATAAATATCTCAACTTATTTCACAACACGAAATGAATAATACTCACGACCCAATTACTCCATTTAGAGGCCAAATGTATACAGAAACACGCTACAACCGTCGGTTTGTACTGCAAACACATTGTTGTCAAATGGAGACTGTTTGATGCCATAAAATATGATGTTTGAGCCAAATCTTTGGTCGCTGTGAACAACAAAAATTATTAGTAAATAATATATTTTAGGATCATTCAGTATTGGTCTTTAAACGTGGACCTCACAGACAATCTGGTTTAAAGCAGGCCATAGAGTCCAATTTGAACATTGAAGTCTGGATTTCTTCATAGTAACTACTTTTACTGGATTTATTCATTATAATATAACATATTAAATTGCAAAAATAAACAGTACAGTGGTTTTAGTGTAATAAATTAGTTGTTTTTGTAAGTCTAACTAATCTATTTTGTTTTTATGCTTAGTGATCAGCTGTCAAAGACATCTTACGGGGCATTCACATATTTTGCTATCATCATCATCTCATTTATAGGCAAGATGCACTCATACTACAAATGTTCAACTGTATGTACTGAATGTGTTGAACTGTATGTACTGTCAATAACAATAACAAAAAAGAACTAAGCCTGACATGTTTTTTACTTTTTTTATTCTGCCTATAGAAACTATTGAAAATATTGTTATGACAAATGTTTGTTTATGATCACAATTCTATAATATCATGCAATCTGATCGGTTAATAAATCTGGACTGATCCAGATTTATTATCTTACTTAATCTGGATCAGTCCAAATTTATTATCTGGGGTACCCTACCTGACTATCAGCTACTCGGGTGTAAGGACTTATTGTTCTATCGTATTGTTTTTAATTTAATGATAACTTAAAAAAAAAGGTATATAAACAATTACGCTTCTCAGAATTTTGTAATTTTCAAAGCCCAGAATAAAGCTTCTAATATATAGGACCTAAGATTTCAGGATTCACTTTAAAGGACCAAACTAAGATCACCCCTTGTACATATTTCTGCCGCAAAACAGTCATGCTTCCCAGTTTGAGGAATGGGGCAGCCCTTATACATTTGATACTTCAAAATCTCTCAACTCATCTCAGTAAAAACAAAGGTATTGTTATACTTTTTACTAGAGACGAGACGAGACTATGAGGGAAAGTCCACAACCAATCTTGACATGAAGTTGATGTCTAAAGTTAATTCTGAAGCAATGTCACAAATACAGGATACAACAAACAATATTATGGAAATTTTGAACAAAACTGGCGATGGATTTTTATGAGTAAAGGCTAGGCTAGTCTGTATTCTAAGGCTAGATCATTTACTATCTGCACCTTGGTGGTTATAGAACAGCCTAATGTCTGAGGATTACAACTTAGCATCAAGTTAAAACTGTAAAACAAATCAATATTATTTATACATTTTAACTTAATATAAAACTATCCCAAATAATAATTTAAAGTTTTAATAGTGACAGAAGTAACATAGATGTAATGTGATGTTCTTTTTCTTGAAAGTAAGAAAAATTCTTTTAAATCAATAAATTAGAAAAAAAAAATTAACCATGTTGTCAAATGGGTGCTAGTAGATAAAGATTACCATTCATTAGCCAACATGTTTGTCTTAACCTAAACAATATTTTTTTTTTTTTTTTAGCACATTACAGCATATACTATGGTACCAAACCATTTATCTAATAATGTCAATGGTAGGAAAAATTGCAAACTATCTTTAAAAAAGGCTCAAATATTCTTTGACACAGCAAATGACTATGCGTATATTTTGAAAACAAACCATGAATTCTGCAAACATGTTAGCACGTGAATATGGTCATTTTTGTATAGATAATACAAAAAAGGCGTGATGAAGTGAGGTGACACACATATTTTTTTTATTTTTTAAACCACATACCTTACGATTTCTTAATGTTGATAAAACATAGCCTGTTCTGCACTTTTATTATAATTCGCTTGCGGCAGAGTTCTATGCGGTTTTCATATGGTCATGGGATTTTTTACTAGTCATAAGCAAAGGTTTCTTCTAAAAGTTTTGCTATTTATAATTTTTAGATTCAAAATGGGAGATGTTTTGACGTACACAATTTTCAAGAATTCTAGATGTCGATGGTCGAGAAACCTAGTTGTAACATTAGCCATAGGAAATCAAAGTAGAAATTTCGTCACATATAAACACAAAATAAATCCCATAACCATAAAGAAAATAACAACGGGCCCGCATTCAAAAAAAGAACTCGCCGAGCGTTACCGAACGCGAACAAGCGTCCCCGTCGTGTTTCCGGATTGCGGTCCGTTTCACGCTAACCGTGCACGTTCCGTTGCACGTTCGTATCGAAGCGAGACAACATTAGGACGCTTGTCTCACCTTTTACAAGGTGACACGTTCGCACAACGTGCGTGTGGGGGTGGTCGATCGCTACATCGAAACCTAATGTCTGTAGCAGAACGTTCTCGTTGAACACAAGGTCCTGCGCCTGGGAACAATAAGGAAAAGGTTAGAACTCATGACCCCATTCTGCTTCATAGTGTGAGTTGTGGTATCATCATCATCATCATCATCATCATCATCAGCCTATAGCAGTCCACTGTTGGACATAGGCCTCTCCAATTGTTTGACAATGAGCACGATGTTCGGCTTCTCTCATCCAGCTTCTGCCAGCCACCCTGCACAGATCATCACTCCACCGAGTTGTGGTATACAGTTATTCAATTCTGAAGTTGTCTTGGCCTTATGGATAAGACGCTGGTATATTCGTATCCAGCAATGCGATTATATGCCAACATTCAAATCCTGCACGCAGGTACCATTTACTCTAATTAAGCATACTTTTAAAACATGTTTATGAATAATTTCAAAGATGAAAGAATAATTTCCAAAAATATTTTTGACGTAATTACTGAGGGCATGTTGTATTTTAAGTACTCACAGATAGTAACCACCATCCTGCAAATTTGTGTAAAGCACTTAGTCCACCTTGAAAGCTGAGGAGACCCATAATACAATACAATTGAGGCTTAGACTTTATATCTCAAGGTGAATGGTAATAAAATGATGTACCTAAATGAGAGCTTTAACACAAGTGAGACCTAGGTTAGTTAATAATAAAAGCCTCAAAAAAGAATGTATTAAAGTTTCTCTACTCTATGAGAAATGCCTTCAGCATTGACCTTGGAACCTTTTTGTATTAATACCCACTCAGTAATAATCTCTAGTAATTAATTACCAGCACATTAATCAAATACAAGCATTATCGGAGTTTACAAGAGATAAAAGTTCAACGAACCTGCTCCTGATACTGTTCAGGTGTCAGAGCGTTCACCCCCTCACCTCTGTGGAGGCATACGTGGGCCACTTTTATAACATATTCCAGCTTCCTTGGCTGCTCTTCCACCTGTAATTAGTTATGAGAATTATTAATTTCTCAGATCTGTGAACACATTCACTGGCCATTTTGTTTGAAGCAGTTTTAATGCATCGATTCATTCTTTCCTATTACCCTCTGCTGGGGTGTAGGGCTAGAATCAAATTCTTCCATTTACATCGGTATTGGGCAGTCTGTTCTAGCTCCTCCCACGTCATGCCCAAGACATCTATCTCCTGCTCCACCGAGCGATACCATGTATATTGCATACATGATAATAATAGCGGCATTGTGAATGTCTTAAAGAGCAATGTCTTTTTCATACATACTATTTTTATTTTATTGCTTAGGTGGGTGGACGAGCTCACAGCCCACCTGGTGTAAGTGGTTACTGGAACCCATCTACAACGTAAATGCGCTACCCACCTTGAGATATAAGTTCTAAGGTCTCAAGTATAGTTACAACGGCTGCCCTACCCTTCAGACCGACACACATTACTGCTTCACGGCAGAAATAGGTAAGGCGGTACCTGCCCGCGCAGACTCAAGAGATCCTACCACTAATAAAATTAATTACTTAATGACTTAGTTATAACAATTATTCTACATACCTTCGCAGCCAGGAACAAAGCTGCTGCAGCTATGGCATTCCTGTGAAACTGTGTGAACGAATGGAAGGCGTAGAACCGATGCATGTACACTATCGCCGTGTTGATACATAGTTGAGAGCTGTAGGTTGCTTAGTTAAGGAAATTATGGCTTTGAAAAGATATAAGCACTAAGTAAATTATTTAATTTAATATTTTCACTAACAAATTTCTCAATTTTGGTAAGACAAATCATACTTTAACATTCACAAAACAGTAATCTGGTAACTGAATGTTTTGCAAATAGGTAATATATGAATATTATTGTATCTATAAGTGTTTGCAAAGTGTTTTCATACAGTCATCTAATATCGACATTTGTTAAATACACATATCAGGTCATATAGGGCCTTAAAATTTCTAGGTTCTTAAATTATTTTGGAACGGTTCACATTGATTTGTAAAGATAGAACAGGGAATTAGTTACACATCTTAATATTTTAGAAGAGAATATCTAGTATTTATAATACTAGAACTAGTATTTATAATACTAGAACGGTAGATATCAGCTCTTCCATTGTTAAGCAGTAGCTGAAGACAAAAAAAACGTAGAAAAATACATGATTGATAAAATTTTCCTTTTTTTTTTTGTGGAATAAAAGATCATCATAACAAATAGTTAAATAAACACTACAAAACATTATTAATTACATTTTAATTTCATCATAAATAATGACCAACTTGATAAGAGGCCATTGTTCATAACAACTTTTTAATGACAATGAGTCATTGGAATTCTGTGTATTTGTGGAGTTAAATTAGGTATTTTACTGTTTTAAATGAATCATTCATTTCATGTGCAACAGTGCTACACACTACATTAAATCGATGCCTCCATGAACACTACGCTAACTCCAAATTCGTAGATTTACAGGAGGAGCGTTTAAACGGAAAAAAGCTGATAAAATCTTTATTATTGCAGATATATTTATGGTTTTTTTTGTGTAACTAGCTGGTTTACTCTTGCTTCGAACCCCATCAATAATGATTAATTGTAATACTTTTAGCATAGTGAAGCGATTTGTGTGAAAAACGAAAATTTCAAAATTTTGAGTTAGAGTAGTGTTCATTGAAGGGATCGAAATCCAATTTCAAGTTAAATAAGATTTTAAATGTTAAAAATAATTACTTAACAATTAAAAATTTCCTAAATACATTAATCCTTTATGAAACAAACAAATGGCACTATACTACTAATAATTGGCATTTGATACTCATGTCTCAAGATACTTGGCATTTACTTTATTGATGTCTAAAAACAGAAAACCTGTGTTAACTGGTTACTGGAAAACCAAAGATCTTATAATGTAAATGCGACTACAAACTTAGATATGAGGTGGTTTCAATGCATTGTATAATAGCTGGCCCAATCTTCAAACCAGAGTGCATAGCTGTTTACAGCCAAAATAAACTTATAGATAAGAGAAAATAGAATTATTGTTGTTGTTGTTGTTGTTGTAGTCCTAGGGTACCCCGCTGGTACATAGGGCCCTCACAAGTTGTCTCCACTTTACTCTGTCTTGTTTTTTTACTGTAGAGATCATCGTCAAATATGTAGAGTATTTATTTCTAGAAAAAACGGTACCTCCCAGCAGGATTTTAAGCAGTTCTTGAATTAAACCAACATTATGCATCAAGATTTTATTTCCTAATAATATATACCAAATGACCATGTTTAAACCGAGATGTAAGCATAATATGGGCACAGTTGTAATCTTTCATAGAAACCTATATTTATCAATATCAGATAAGTCTGAATTCAGTCTATTTAAAAGCGAAAGGTTCCCACTAAGCAAAATATTACAAAACTGCATTTCACATTTATGTAAAACAGTTGTTTATGTAGTGCATTGAATAAATCATCTCAAATTCATGTTATTTTATTTAGATTATATTTTGTTCTAGATCCTTCCATCCTTTATTCTAGAAACATTATTGATGAATTGATACTCGTTTGTAGTAATGACCTCTTTCTATACATTTACTTTTTTCTTTGCATCTGTTCTCATTGGCTCGCTTGATATCAACAACCTAATGCATATCAGCATAGTGTGTTCACACTTTGTTTATTTACGTTTTCATTAACCTACGTGTTCGTGGAAATGACAAAACAACACGTACGTCACGCGTGCTTCAAAAGTAATACATATTTTATCTCGTTTAACTACACGAGTACCAGGAAAATATGATAAGCTCGGAAGTGAATCGTTGAGAAGTTCCAAGAAACACGAAAGGTTATTTATCCCGGTACGCGGGTAAATTTAGAGCGGGCAGACAGGTCGATCACACAGGTCCTACGTCAACCGCGCAGGCGTCCCGACAGCTGTCGAACACTGACCTCGAAAAAAACCACGCTTCATACGTGACCCTAACCTAAATACAAACACTTATGGGCATTTTCACGTTAATACGCAATCATAGGCGTATCCTTCAGTTTAGATATTATGGTTTTACTCACGGGAAATCCCAGACAAGCAAGGGAAAGTGTGTGAATGACGCCGTTATGTACACGACATTTCGTCACTTTTTCTAACTCTTGTACATGATCACTGCACATTCTGACGCTTCACAAATGTTGATTACCGATATTAGAGGACATTTTAATTAATGAAAACACTCAACAAAGCACTAAAATACACATTTTAAACACATGACTCGACAAAAACATTGGGTCGTAATCGAACACTTTTTCGAAAAGGATACACTTGAAGCCTCTGTCCCATATCCTGTATTAGATTCGCGGCCTGCTGCCGATAAGCTAACTCTTTATCTGCATCTAAACCGCATTTTCTGCTTGGTGAATTCTGTAGCTGTTCTTTTGTAAAATACCATTTTTCTTGCCCACCAGCCATTGAACGGATGTTCGGACTGCGCGCGAGAAAGCACGACGGATAGAAGTGCCCCGTCTAAGTGCGTGAGTGGGAAAGGGACAGCGCTAGCACAGCGGCAACCGGATAAAGACCACGTTAACATTTGAGTGATTGATAAATTAAAATCCTAACATTTTATCAGAAAACACTGTTTTCATTCACCATTAATGAACTAAAAAAATATTAAAATTAATGGAATAACAAAACAACAAGAAAATTACTTAAAAAAAATACATCACAACACGATATTCTGATTAGGAATTTCAAGCTGACGCCATTGTAAAACTTGGTAGTTAACGCAGTGAGGTCTCCGGTGACAGATTGATGATCTGCAAAAAACACAGGTACGTTTCACTTTATCACTATGTTTCTTTTAATAGAATGAGAATAGCTCTTTCTTTTGTACATATTTTCAAAACGCATTGCTAACTTTTCAATGAAAAAAATCAACTTCAAATTTACGGACCTAAAACTCTGTCGCACTGTGCAAATGGCCGACCCACCACTGTTTACAATTCACCTCACTATTAAATTCGAGTTAAAATGCCTGATGACTTAAACTATTATCGGTCATTTCATAATTAGTAAAATTATTTTATAATACGATTAGTTTCAGTCATTACTTTTTTCAAATTNTAACTTTTCAATGAAAAAAATCAACTTCAAATTTACGGACCTAAAACTCTGTCGCACTGTGCAAATGGCCGACCCACCACTGTTTACAATTCACCTCACTATTAAATTCGAGTTAAAATGCCTGATGACTTAAACTATTATCGGTCATTTCATAATTAGTAAAATTATTTTATAATACGATTAGTTTCAGTCATTACTTCTTTCAAATTGTTGCAAACTAGTTTATTTTTATTAAGAATCACATCTGACCTAACTTTAGTGAACGAAGTTTCGCGCTACGTGGATAACTACGAACAAACGATCGTAATTAAAATATTCTAATATAAGATGATTACGCAACTTTTACAGAGGTTTCATATGATTTTTAAAGAAAACATTAGAAAGTACGTATTACAGGCTGCTAATATAGCAAAAAAATGTTTCCATTCGGAAGAGAGTATGCAAACACCTTGAACGCTCATAATATCAAGATTTCTGAACGTAAGTAAAAAATAAAAAATCAAATGCGTTAATTTAAACAAACAAACCAAATCATTACTTAGTTCATTAAACATGTAGATTTATAAAAATATATAAACATCATTTCATTAGAACACGAGATCTTTTTGTATAAAATAGTATATCGTAGTCAAGTCAGTAGTTGCATAGGCTGTCGGAGTTAATTTTTTAAATATCATTTCTCAGACTTACACTGCGATTTAAATTTGCTGCCATATAAAATTGTGACAATAAAATAACAATAAAATAACAAAACAAGCACCAATTTCACGGCATCCAAATTTTCTTGTTTCGCAGGTACCCTCCTAAAAAACTAGATTATAAAAAAAACATTTTTGTGCGATTTGTCATCTAAATCTGTCCACTGATATTTTTACGTGATTACGAAATTTCCCTTTCTAAATCAACATTATTGTAGGTTAAAAATATACTGGGCTCCTTCCGGTACCCGTTTCATTAACAATTAGGACGACTTGTTTATCAACAAAAAAAAATACAAACTTATGTAATAATTGTAACAAGACGTAACAAAAAGATTGTATTAATTTGGCAACACGTACATGCGGTATAGTACAAAAATTTAACAAACTCAGGGCCGTATTAAGTACGTATTTCATAGCATTAAGTATTGCATAATTTAATTTGCGTAATTAATGGTGGTAGGACCGCTTGTGAGTCCGCACGGGTAGCTACCACCACCCCGCCTATTTCTGCCGTGAAGCAGTAATGCGTTTCGGTTTGAAGGGTGGGGGCAGCCGTTGTACTATACTGAGACCTTAGAAGTCATATCTCAAGGTGGGTAGCGGCATTTACGTTGTAGATGTATATGGGCTCCGGTAACCACTTAACACCAGATAGACTGTGAGCTCGTCCACCCGTCTAAACTATAAAAAAAAGAACTGTGTCGTCTGATCATTTCACGTTATTGTTAAGTTCTTTTCGTTAAGATCAACGTATCATCGTATCATCAGCCTATAGCAGTCCATTGCTGGACTTTGGTATCTCGAATTGCACGCCATTGAGCACGATCCTCGGCTTATCTCATCCAGCTCTTGCCAGCCATCCTGCATACATCGTCACTCCATGCAGCTTGGAGCATGGAGCTCAGCTCCAACGGTTATCGGTTCTCCAGCTAATATGGCCAGCCCTAATATATGAGAAATACCATAGGGGTTGAATTCATCATAAAAAAAAACCTAGAAAAACTACGAGCGATAAATAACCTCAGTAACGAAATAAAGAAGTAGGAATCAAACAAGATAGGCTTCTTCGGTTAAAAAAAAAATTCTAACCCCATGACAATTTTTTGGCGATATTAAGATAGTGGTATGCGGCGGTACACATGGCGTAACGACAGTAGTGGCCATAGAACAAAAGATATTTGACAGATGTCCGAATATCGCTAACAATAATTTTAAGGTAAGTTAGGACCGTCGGTCTACTGAGCAGCTACACCAGCTCGGTGGTAGTTCTACCTTTGTCGTTAACCCCCAAATGTCTATGGGCACTGACAAACCTGGTTGCACCAGGTGGACAGGTGAATTTACTCCCCTATCTGTAATAATAGGGTTTTTATCGATACGATACTTGTGAGACCTACAATGGGTCTTACCTTCGATAATTTCAATTGTTGAATTTATACATATTTTATGAACACGATTGCATACTAAACCGTTGCTACATATTAATAGTTTATTATTTCTAAGCGATTAAAATCTGATGGCATTATGTCACACGTACCGATCAAGTTTTAACGTCATTTTTTATTTGAAATTTCAGTTTCCTCGTCCGTTATGACGTCACAACCTCGTAAATTAATTCACCTGCCCAAAGTCAGGATGCTCAGTAGTGGGGGACCAACAAAATCCGGTATCCGGATAACGAATGTGAGGACTATAAAGCCTCCGGACCCGGAACACGTGAAGAAACAGGAAGAGGAGAAACTGAGGGCTCAGGTATATAATAATAAATTATTTCACTATTCTAATCTCCGGTTTGAGCGCCGAAAGCTCACCTACACGCTAGGATGAAGCTGAGATAGCCTCTCAAGGCTATCAGTATAGGTAGGGAAAAAAAATAATATTCTAATCTACATTTTGACTCACGTCTGAGAACGTAGCTGCATATTCACACTAGAGATGAAACGGATATCCGGTAACTATCCGGTATCTGGCCTATCCGGCCATGTTTTCACTATCCGGCCGGATACCGGATAGTACATCAGTATCCGGCCGGAAATCGGATAGTAAAATTTAAAAAAATCTCAATGTTATACAAAAGGCAAATAATACCACAATAGGCTATGGACAACTTTTATTTTTATAATCGCACGTCAAAAGTGATTGTTTTATCAATTAATTTGTTTAATACTCAAAATTAACAAGTGGTAAATTGTGGTGAATGAATACCAAATCGTGTCGTACCGAGTCGTCGGTATCTCCGATTACGTGGGCCAACACCCGAACGCGCACGAATATTTCCGAAAGGGCCGAGTATCCGGTAACCGAATATCCGGCGCTCCGGCCTCGCAGCTTGCCGAATATTCGGTATCCGGCCAAACCACTATCCGTTTCATCTCTGATTCACACACCCAATACACCGATTGACTCCTCTGATGATGTGGCTAATGAAAAAAAAAACATTTTCAGGTCCAAAAGGAGATCGCCTCGCGGTGTCGCTCGTGCGCGTACAAGGGCTACGAATGCTTGCAGCCGGTGCTGTCCGGTCGCCAATACTGCTACAGACATGTGCTGCGCGACCCGACCGCCCCCTACAGGCAGTGCGTGCACAACTATGCCAACGGGGAGAGGTGTACGCTACCAGCACCGATGGACACCAATGATCCCCGGGACCCTGGGTTAGCTTTTAGATTTTTTTGTCTATCTCGCGACCCCCTAGTCAGGATATTGAAGGTCGGATATCCTCAATGTTAACTTTTTAAATTATAATTAGTCACCATGTTTTTTTTTGTTATTGCTTTAATGGATGGACGAGCGCATAGCCCACCTGGTGTTAAGTGGTTACCGAAGCCCATAGACATCTATAACGTAAAAGTCGCCACCCACCTTGAGATATCAGTTTTAAGAACTCAGTATAGTTCCAACGGCTGCCCCACCCTTCAAACCGAAACGCATTACTGCTTACGGCAGAAACAGGCAGGGTGGTGGTACCTACCCGCGCGGACTCACAAGAGGTCCTACCACCTTGAAAGTATAATTTCTGATGATGAATTCCATGGTGTTTCCAGGTTGTGCTTCGAGCACGCCCGCGCCGCCCTCGCCCTCCGCCAGCGCCAGGCCGCGCCGCCCCCGCCCCTCCCCACCACCGAGACGCTGCTCCACCAGCTCAGCCACTACATACAGTTAGTACACATCTGTAGTATGGACTAAGTAAATTATTGTCAGACATAACCCAAGGAAAATTGCCGGTCATGTTGTCTATGGATACAATAAGTGACACAGCCAAGTGGAATTCTGGAGGAAGAAGCAGTTTTGTTCTAAAAAACCAATCAGGTTATAGTTTAGTGTGTTGGGCATCGCAAAGTGGGGCAAAACGGATCCATGCGATACAAGTTCAATGCTCTCCAAACACCAATTCCCATACTCGTTGACAAGTTTGCATATTTTATCATCATAATTATTTACTGACTCCAGTCATATTGCAGATAATTTTTTGAATGATATACACAATACTCACTAATGTATTAAAAGCTTGTGTCAGCTGATTACACAAATGTTCGATTGATACAATTTGTTCCCATTACCATTGCCCCATTGTTGCCAAACAAAATAACGAATAATTCTATATTAATATGAATGTTTTTAAATAAATTTCCAGAGCAGAGAGGCCCCGCACGACGTCATGTGCGTCTTCA